AAAACTAGGGGATGAAGAATAACTCTAGACGAATGCTGCATGAGGATCATTTTTGAGAAAATCTTTGGTTTATAGGAGACTGAGAAACTATTGTAAAGCTTACAAATGCAGTTGCCATTTCCCATCGCTAGGTAGAGTTATTACCTCAAGCTGAGATACAGACACCCTGCCTTGTGTTTGTATCAGGAACAGGGATGAAGAACAAATGCAGCAAAGGTCTCTGAGCTGAAAAAGCTGGGGTTGCAAAATTCAACACTGCACTGTGAGAAGAAACAATTGAATGAACATAAGCACGAAGCCAATTATTTTATTTTGACAGAACACTTTTTTTTTGAAGTTTTGTCACAAAAGTATTGAGCCTTTCATGTGAATGTCTTGTTCCTTCATGATAGCAATTTATTCTGCTTTTCTCCTAGGAATCAATTCTGGATTCTGTACAGCGATAAACTTATTATTGTTGTTGTCATATAAACAGTAAAACATAATGTTTTTCCTCCCAACTAGAAGCTCTSGACAAGTTTTTAATAATTGTATCACTTTCCATAAATGCCACCTCATGAGGAGAAAAATAATTGTAAAATAACTCTAAATGCATTATCATTCAAAAGGATAAAAGTAACAAAAAATCAATGATTGCAAAGTAGGAGAAAACTTAGTTCCACATTCAGATTCCTCCTGACGGGTGCCTGAGCCCTCATCACACATGTCAGGTAAAACCACAGGCATGTTTGTGAGGCTGTTTCTATGCCTCAGGAAGAGGGCCAGGAAATAAATAAAAGCAGCGGAGGTYGGTTAATTATCAGCATGTCCTTGGCATCGTATAGATCCATGCCGAGCAGCATTCCCACATGAAATGCCTGGGCATGGTTTACAGGGTAACTCCTACCAAGGTCTGTCTCCGCAGAGTGCCGGGGGGTTCACTCCACTCCCTGTGCAGCCCTGAACAGCTTCTCTTACTTCCTATCAAAATAAAAAAGCATTTGAAACCTTTAAGATCAGTAAAAAAATAAAATTCTTTTATTTCCAGTTATTTTAAAGCATTCCTCTTTYCCAATAAACGGATACACCATATATCCCTCATTCCAGCAATGTACAGTGATTAATTTCTTACCCTGCCACTCAGAGTGCATCATTTCAGCTTTTGGCACATGCTAAGCACCAATCTAAAATTTCACAATGGCTCGTTTTAAGTCAATTATTTGTTGCAAGCCAATCTAATTAACATGAATAGCACTGCAGAGAGTGTACACTGTTTAAATGCAGACAGTACTTTACAGATCAGTGGTGTGTATTATTGCAAGGCAATTCCAGCATTGTTTGTGCAGGAAACAGTCAGCAAAGGTCCGGATCGCAGTGGGAAGGCAGCTGCTGTTCTTACAGGTAAAGGGAAGGCTGGGAGTTGACTTCAGCGGTAAAAAAAAAGGGTAAAAACCCTTTTACTTCTTTATTATGTTAYTACCCACTTTCTTTTTATTTCTCCTTTTGATCTCAAGCAGTAAGGCAATAGATTATAGTAAACAGATTACACTTCTGTGCACCATTTTAACTGTTCCAGGACACGCAGTGGAATTAATGTGGCCAAACATATGGCGGTAAATCATAATTCATTTGCTTTCCTGAAGGCCTTTGTTTTCGTGCAGGATTTAGGGCAAGTGCTTGGATTATGCTTTTACTTGACCTAGACCAGTGTGCCAGCAACTGCAATACAGAAATAATGACTACAGTGGCAAGACAACAAAAGCGTGTGGTACTTTCCTCATTGGCCATTCACAAAGGCTAGTTTTTATTTAATATTTTTGACATTTTGAACTTGAAAAACAAGTGAAGTGAATGAACATTCCAATACGGCTAAACTGTCCTAAAAACTCAGGCTTATTAGGGCTACTTCTGCAATAACCAGAAACTTTAAGTGTTCCAATTACTGAAGGCAGCTTTAAGCCAAACACTTGCATGTACATAGTGCCATTTGGATATGAACGCATTATAAATGTGCAAATTAAGTCACAATYCTGTATTCTTTATGGTCATAAGAAGCCACTAACTCTTACAGAGTGAGATCTGAAGACATGTGGAGTTTCAGTTGAACTCACAGTTTGGATTCATTTGACTGGAAAGCTACATATTATAATTACAGATCTCTGCCTTTTAGATTTGGCTAAGAAATACTAAGAAATCTGAACTGTCAGTAATGCATGCTACAAGTTGGATGCTGGTGAAAAAGCATTTTAGAATAAAACCATTTCTGAGCCATCTCCGCATCCCCGAGTTTTGCTTCTGCACTGGTTTGGGGCAGGACGAGGTGGGAATCAGCTGTCGGGGGCAGCTTAGAGGAGAACAGTCAAGGAGATCCGGYGCTCGCAAGCAGGCACGGAATGGGACTGGGTTCCCTGGAGAACCTCTCCATGTTCAGCAGCAGGTTATGCACTCTCAGAATCAGAGCAGTCTAATGTGATTTGCTGTAAATGTAAATATTGAAGCCAGTCTGTATTTAATTTCCCACACGTATTTAATTTCGTCCTCTGTTTGACCAAGCAAGTGTGATCTRGGAATGGAATAGGGGAAACAAAAGCAGCTTACAGTCAGAACACACGGAAATTACTCATTAATATACATTCCCTGGCCTTCACTGATTATTCATAATAGTAACTGCGTAAATGGTATCAAAACAAAACCACTAAGAGTTGCACTAAAGCTTAGGAAAACAAAACCAAGCTATTCATGGCAGTATATAGAATGTGACCTTGTAAAACCATTTCCTTTTCAGTCATGGACTTGTAGGAGATGTGCTGCTTGCAGAAGAAAATCACAATTTATTTATTAAAATTATTAAAATATTTATTAGATATCTAAGTAGATATTTAGATTCAAATATGTCATGTATATAGTCAATGCCTGGGAAATAGCACAGTCTCACAGCAGCTATTACATTCTGCCTTACACCTTGAATTTTTGCCCACTTTCTCATTTAGAAACCCGTATCCTCAGGCTCCCATGCTTGGAAATATATGGGAAATGAGGAGAGTTTAGCGCAGTAGTTGTTGTGACTAAGCTGTGAGTGGACTTGTGGTAGTTCCATGCCCTGGGACACCCTCTAGAGAGCTTGGGRATGGAGAGGAAGGATGCCCAGCTGGGTGTCCGAACCAGGGCACGTGTGGTGACATGCGCTGTGACTGCCACCCTGTCACCTTTTCACAACAAACTGCTCCTCGCTGGCTGCCCGGGGCAGCACCGCACAGTGCAGGGCAGTGGGGAAGTGTGTGCAGGGGGTAGAGCCCTGCACGTCCCCTTACTCGGAGCTGTCACGGGCTGCACGTGTGTTCCCGAGTGAAATAAACCTGCCTGGCGGCGTGGCAGGTTAATCTCCCCATAAAACAGCTACACAGTGATTACAYTGCAGCCAAACCAGCCACATTTTTTAAGCACAGTGTGTACACGCATAGGCAGGTCATGGTTGACCTTTGCTCATTTACAGTACATTCCCCATTTTCTTCTGAAATTTCCCTTTCAAATTAACCTAACAGAGAACGAGAAAGGCTCGGTGAACATGTCGGTATGAAAAAGTGTCACACTTTGGGTGTGTATATGTACATACCACACAACCTCGATGCCAGCCGTGGCAGTGGGAGTCCATTAACATAAAACCAGGATATACCCGCTTCACTTTTTTGTCTGTAATAAAAGTCACTTAGCAGGTGCGCCGTCCACTAAGTGGCTGCTTCTTTTTATTTTGAGGTGGCAGCACATTGTGGGATGGAGCAAGAATGAGCAACCATGGTCCAAGGTCCATGTGGAACATGGGGGTTCTTGAGCCGGTAGAGCAGCCAGCACCTTGAGTAGCTGCTGTATGATGGGTTTTCCAGTAGGGAAAGGGCAAATACACCTGGATAATGGCTGGTTTGGAGGTAGGACGGGCAGAAAGCAAGAAATGAGCACTGGAGAGGGCAACACTGTGAGGAGATGAGAGGAGGACCGGTGTGAACAGTGATCTCCATCTCCAGGAAACACCGGTGGCCCCACGAGGCGCCAGCATTACGGCACCCTCCACAGAAACGTAGCCTCATACCTACAAAACTCCATTTTGCCAAAGTGCTACCCGCCTTTGATTGCCCGCAGCGGAAAACACCTTTCAAAGCCATAATCTCTCCTCACATTTAATAGTTTTTCCAAAGGAGCGGTCTGGAGAGAGCGGCGGCGGGGATGTGGACAGGGCAGGCCTCCGCGCCGCGATAAGGAGCCCTTTCTGAGGTGCCGTTACCTAGCAACAATCTCGGCAGCTGCCTAATGGCATTTGGGAAGCGCGGAGGCTCCCGCGCGGCGGGAATGAGGGGCTGGAGAGCAGCGAGGCTGCCCTAGCGCTGCGCCCGGCGCCCGGCGAAGGTGAGCGGGGGGGACAGCCCTGCACGGGGGGGCGGCTCCTTCCCCGGGCGGCAGCGCCGGGATACGGCAGCGCTCCCCGCTACCCTGCCCGCCTCCCCGCCGCGGCGCGTCCAGCGCGGGCCGTGCCCGCCAACGTGGCCGCGCTGCCAAGGGAGCAGCGGAGGAGAGGGGGGAGCTAGACCAGGTTCCCGTTTCCACACGGGAGCGCGCGTGGCGCAGCGCTGTTACTCCCCCGCTCCTTCCCCGCCGCCTCGCGTGGCRGCGGCGGCCGTTGCGGCGTTCGTTACGCGCGGCCGTTGGTGCCGGCGCGCGCCGCCACGGAGCGGGCGAGCGGATACGGGCGGCTGCCACGCGGCGGCTCCCGCAAGGGTTAACGGCGCGTGCAGAGTCTCGCCCCGCCCCCTGGGCGCTCGCTGCCCAATGAGCACGGCTTCTGGCGGCGTAGTCCCCGCCCCCTGGGCGCTCGCTGCCCTATGAGCGCGGCGCGTGGCGGCGCGGCCCCGCCCCCGGCGCGGGCAGCGCGCTGCGGGTGACGCGCGCCGGAGCGCGGCCCCGCGCGATGGTGCCGGCGGCGGCGGCCCCGGGAGGCGGCGGCGGTTCCCGCTTCCCCTGCGCGCGGCCGGCGGCTCCGTGCGGGCCGCGCCGCTGAGCGCGCGCCTCCCGCGGCGGGCGAGGCGAGGTGAGGCGGGCAGCGCTCGGAGGGTGCCGGGCTCGGGCAGGCGGGCAGGCCGCGGCGTCCCGCCTGGGCACGGGGCGCCGGGCAGCGGCCTCCCCGCGGGGCCGGGCGGGAGGCGGCAGGTGCCCGCCTGGGACGGGGAGGCTCCGAGGGAGCTTCCGAGGGAAGCGCGTGAGTTACGGAGCGGGGGGGATTGCTGCCCCACCCCCCCGGCTCCCGCCGCTGATAACGGCGCTGCCGAGGGGCAGGAGCGAGAGCCAGGGGGCCTGGACCGGCCCTCGGGCATGGGGACGTGTTGCTCAACGAGGGGCCCCGCTGGGGACGCCGGCAGAAGGAGGCGGCACCCGGGCGCTTCCCTGCTCCCTGGGTTAGTGCAGGTGCTGCCCCTCACCGCGCCCGGATGCTTTGCGTCMGTCCTGCCTCTTTGGTGTCTTCTGTGATTTTTGTTTTTTTCAAGGGGAAGTTAATCCCCAGAGAAATGTCACACCCTTAGAGTGCTTTATTAAATGAAATACCTTTCCGAGTGAGCAGTGCAGCTGTGTAGCAGTGCTCYGTGCAGCCGGCGCGGCTGGGCAGAGCCAGCTCTGCGTGCAAGCCAGGCTTACCCTGCACAGGGGCTTCATCACCTCCGAAGCCAAGATTATTGTAGCGTGATGCCGGAATGACACATATGTAAAAAAAAAAAAAAAAAAAAAAAAAAAAATTTAGTCTTCCGTCATGCGTTCTGTAATCTATAAAATCCCACGTTTTTTGTTGAACTTGTTTCAAGAGGAAGCACATTCAAGAGGTTTTATGTTTGGAGGTTGCGTAACGATACCAGTATTTGCATGGACAGGCTCCAGCATGGTGCATTCCTATTGCATGGGTTTTCCCCACATTTACCCTGGCTTAGGAAGAGTCTTTACTCTTTGGAATCAGCAAGAAGGGTGATAGCAGTGGTGCCTGGCAGTAGATTATGTTGTTAAAGACTCATCTCTAAGGGGCACAGAGGCTGCGTGGCAGGCAGGAGAGCCCGGTAACCTGATGGGACTCAGCCCCCCTGCCCCAGCCCCTCCTGGGGCTGTCACAGGAGCGCGACTGACCCGTTGTCCCCACGCAAAGCCCTTCACCATGAGCGGAGAGGAAGGSTCCCTGGATCACCTTGCAGGTGCTGGGAGTTACCTGGAGAGCAGTTGATGCCTGCAGGGGAAAAGGATGTGCTATGGATGTAGAAGAGCATCTCTAGGGACWGCACAAGACCTGCATCTCATTTAGGAGGCAAATCGAAGGCCAGGGATCAAGGTGGTTTGGAAAGCGTGGGAAAACGCAGAGGTAAGGGAGAGAGATAAGTGAGCCTGGTCATATGCAGATAGATGCCTGGTCAATATGTTTGTCTGGCTGTGCCTGGTCACCAGAGCCTGTCTTGTGTTTTCATAAACTCAATTGCTAACTTTATTCCTGGACGTGAGGATCCTGTTCACGTGCTCATGGAGGTCAGTGCCCGCAGCAGGTCCTAGGGCCTGTGTGTCTAGCAGGCCAGCAGCTGGAGTCAATGAGGGCCTCAGGGCTGGCACGAGCAGGGCCTTGAATGGAGGCCCCTGGGGAACCAGCAGCTGGAGGGACCAGAGAGGCTGGGAGACAAAGTGCCAGCAGCCTGGGTTAGTCCTTGGGCCCCTGGGACTCCGGTCTTGGTGCCAGCCCTTGGAGGCAGTGAGGGTTTGGGTGAGCACAGCTAGAGCTGGGGTCACAGCCCTAGGGACATGTGCAGCCGACGGGAAGGACCGAGTGCGTGTGCTTTGTGTGGYGCTGGCCCTGTGCTCACCGGGGAATAGCAAGCCCTGTGTTTGTGTGTGCATCAAGCTACGTATTCCCTGCTAAGGGACCCTCCGGGTGCTCAGCGAGAGCGGGGGGCAGGATGGGGCCCGGCTGCTGGTGCCGTGTGTCTCTGTGAGCACTGTGCATGTGTGTGTGTATGACTGGGAATACGGGTTCAGTCCGGGGACATGGAGCTGCAGCTGCCTTGCTGCGTTGGACTGTGGGATTTGGCAACCCCCTAACACGGGAAAATGGTCTCTTGAGTTTGAGGATTCAGGAGACTTTGACTTTCAGAACTTGAATTCTGAGTGAAATCAGCAATGACTTCTGTGATAGAGTTTTCAAATGTTAAATTGCCAGTCTGCTTGATGTGAATGGGGCTACTTACGTGACTGTCTAAGTGCATATGTGGGGATACTTAYAAGAAACAATCTTCCTTTTAGACACTTCCTAGTCTTTGCTGTGCCATTCAGTTTTGTTCACAAATTGAAAACCCTTGTGTCAGTTAACAATGTAATATAAAAACTGAAAAATTACTGTCCCCTTTGCTAATGGAGCACTTTTATATGCATATGGATATTCATGTATGCATGTAGCAGCCCAGTCTGTTGATACAAAATTAACAGAATGAAAAGCAGATGGTTCTAGATTGAAATGTCTCTGGTTACACAGTTTTCATATGAGCTACCAAGTGCTGCCTCAGCATCTGGCCTTGCCTCCACCCAAAAAGCCTCCTAGCTTGGGGAGTACTGCCAAAGCAACTTGTTATTTCTAAATGTGATGAATATACTTCATATGGAAGATATTAAAATGGAAATCCTATCTCACATTTCTTTCTGAAGAGTTTTAGCACAGTTTTAGTTCAATGCAACCCCACAGTCCAATAATCAGCAGTTACTTTCAAGTAATAKCCATTTGCTCTCTCCAGACAGAACTAATTCCAACAGCTGTTAGAGCAGACAACTGAAATGGAGCAGCARAATGGCACCTAGTACTGAAAAGTGGAAAAATAGGGGCTTTTTCCTTTTGGGAGGTGCTGTGGTTTGTATGGATGCATGGAGTTCTACCCGTTTCATGTGCTGAAGTCATTGTTTTGTCTTGGCCCTCTCACCTTCTCTATTGCTCGTTGTGTGGCGATAGAGGGGACAAATACGAACAARACAACACAGGAGATGCTTTTAATACAGTGGTGTTTTTCAGTGCCAGAGGCTGCTGGTGCATATAGATTTTTCCTTAAATAGAATTTGTTTTGGAGGGCACATGATCTAATTTCTCTTGTTTCCTCTCCAAGTTGCTGGTATGTGACGCTCCAGTATTAATGCTAGAAACAAAGTCATTTTTCCAGGGCCTGCATCTCAAGTCGTCATGTAGCACATTTTATACCTGAAGGTGATGCCTAAAGGTTTAGTTTACAGGTTTAGTTTACAAGTCTCCATGSAGATGGAGCACAGAATTAAAGACAACATGTGTTTAAAAAAAAAAAATTGCATAAAGTGCTTTTTTCATATTAAGCTACAGCTCTTTAACAACTACAGATATGTTAATTTGGGGCACCTGTGAAATTTCTTGTTTTTCCTTGTGTGCTTCATAGTTGCCTTTCCAGTTCTGTTTCATTTTTCTAGTAATGGGCAAATAAGCAGTATCACCTTCCAGCTGCTGCCCTCACACTCTGGTTGTTGGGTGTTGCTGCCCGGGTGATTCATGCAGCTTGCTCGAGGACAGTATTTTCCCAGTAGACTCTTCGTAGCCTGTGGCCTCACTCACTGGCTAAACAGGTTGTTTTGGTCGCAGTAGCTCTTCTCCACCTGGTATTTTTCAGGCAGGATTATTGGCCTTTGACAGTGTTCAATGCCCTGCTTGGAATCTGTTGTGCATGGAGGCACCTTCGGTTCTGCTCACATGCAAGACTTTGCAGGAATGGACCTTCATAAAGTTTAGAACCTGTGGTGTTTTTCTCCACTGTCGTTTGTTTTCAGTAGTAATAAAGTGCCCTTTTGTAATCCAGTGCATAGAAAGCAGGCACAATATCCATTTAAAAAATATTTTTTGCTGTAAGATAAATTACAGAACATGCAACTGTATTTTTAGAGAGTATAGACTTGGTGTGCYATACAGATTGCTTGCTTTGGGAGTTGTCTGTTCTGGTTGAAAATGTGAAGTTTGAGATAAATGCAAAATAATGTAAATAGCATGAGTTAGTAATGTTAAAAGATGATAATTTTGCGGGCATATTCACTGCCTGTTGGACACAACACCATAACRTTTCCCTAGTTTTTCCAAGGGATCTCATCTTCTCACACGCTAGTGACCCCCAGTTCTGCAAAACTTTTTCTTCAGTTTTTTAGTTTTGTGCTCTGTAGATGTATTGAAATGATAATTTATTAACTGCTACAAAAGTCAAAGCCGTGGAATATTGTGGTAGAACATATTAATGCTTGCTCTTGCCTRGCTAACTGATGCTCTGGGCATTCCCTAAATTATGTTTTTTGACTAACTAACTCACTAGAGTTCTTACCTGTTGATGTTAAAAGTGTTCCTAATCAGGAAACACTGTTAGCTTGTTTGTAAAGTTCTTGCTTGACTCCAGTATGCAGTTAACGGTTAATGGGATCTTTCCTCAAATGCCTGAAAATGCATTTATAGGAGTATTTGTGTGTGTGTGTGTGTGTGTGTGTGTGTGTGTGTGTGTGTGTATGAAAATGACCTCAACCAAGTCCTCAAAATAGGTTAGTATTTGACATTTATCAAAGGGTTACTTACTCTTAGAGCTGAGTACATCTCACAGTCATATTCTGTATTGACCTGTAGGTTGTATTTGATCATCTTTTATTATCCTCATAGAAGACTTAAATATCACTCTTTTATAAGGGCAGGTTTGATGGGACCGAGAGAATAAGCAAGTGGATATATATTAACTTTTTAATAATTAAATTACTACTTCATGTGTATTCTTACATAAATATTATGCCAGTACAATTAAAGAAATGAATGTTTTCTTTCTATACAGTTGCTCTTTCTTTCACTCTTCTTTATAAAACTAAGCAATGCTTGCTTTATCTTTTGCAGTAAATTTATCAGTGACTTTACAGATTTATATAAATATTTGTCTTGCTTTGGTCTACAATGCAAGTCCAAGGGAGCTCATTACTGAGGCCTTCTGCTTCAAAGTTATTTCTTGATTTTCTTATATTTCTTGATTTGATTTCTGTATTACTTTAAGCTTGATGCAGTTTTCATTTGTTTTTGACAGTCGATTGTCTTTAGGAAATGGCCTCTTCTAAATCCCTGATGAACCTTCTAACCTTCACTTTTGGATCAGCAGTAGGGTTTTTCCTGTGCTATCTCCTGTTCAGCATGATCCTAGAAGAACAGATTAAGATCCAGCCTCACATTCTTCACAATGATCCACACGGCCAACATTCAGCAGATACTGGTAGTAATCAGTTGCAAGGACAGATGAATTTCAATGCAGACTCTGGACAGCATAAAGGTATTTTTTACACCAGATAATAGTTTGCCTCCTTCATGTATAATGCAAAATGTTATTGTTACTGCTAAGAATTTGTATGAATGTTCTTCTTCCATTTTATGAATGTTCTTCTTCCATTTTGCCCATGTGCAGAATGAATAGCTTTGTTCTCCTGAGATGTATTGAATGATATTTCTGTTTGTTTTTATTACAGTAGTGATTTTTCCTTCAGCCTTAGTACTCACCTGCTTGTCCAGTTGCTGTATGCAGACTTGGCAGTGTCCTTAGGAATCATTGATAACAGTTGTGGTTTTTAAATAAGCAGATTTATTTGCTAGCACTGTAGAGGTGACAGGGTTGTTTTTTTATCATTTTTCCTTAAAGAAGCTAGTCTTGGACTGTTTCTAGTTTCTGACCTAGCCTGTAAGATAAAAATGAAATAGAAATTAACATTTTGAAAGGATTAGTAGAACTCAGAATTGGTGCAGGAGAGAGGCCACTATTGGCACTGTTTGCCAAGTTAAATATGTAGACGATCAAAGGCACATAGCTGTGCTTGGACCAAACCAAACTGAGTTGCACTTGAACATGTTATTTCATTCTGTTCTGTTTTTTTAAGAATGCAGACCCATGTTCAGGCRAGGGCAATTTGGCTGAGTAAAATTGATTGCAATATAATGCATCAGCTGAACAAACCATTAATCAGTGATTTTCTAAATAAGAGTTTCAAAATAGAAGATTTTAAATTGCTCAGTTAAGACAAGTTTGTGAGTGTTTTGTATGCAATCRTAGAGAATTATTATTCAGCAAACTGACCTATTACTGCACTAAGGATAAAGAGGACCAGTCCTGCAGATCTTGCTCTCCATGGAGAGATTATCTGCCAAGAATAAAAGGATTTCAGCACAGTAACAATATTAGTTCACAGTATCCTAAATCTTATTACAAATATGTTTTAACTTAACTTGGTCATAAAATCTTTGTTTTGGTTTACTATATACTTTTTCCTTCAGAAATGCATTACTGTTTTGGGAATATTTATTATATTTTCTTAATTAACATAAATACATATACCAAAAAATAGGTGGTCTTTTTTATTGTATTATTGTCATCATTAAGTTTTCATCAGTGAAAAGGTAAAATATTCAGCTTTTTAACTTTCATTGTTCTCCCAGCACCAGGAGGATGGCTTCTAGTAATTTTTATGTATGTGAGACTTCATAAAATCCTCATAAAAAGAAATAGATGATCCTCTGTCTGTTTTGCTTGTCAAAGAAATGTAATACAGGTTAAGAACTTGCCTTTTAACTTGCCTTTTTTTTTTCCTTTTTCTTTTTTAAGATGAGAATAAAAATGTTGCAGAAGGACTCTATCAGAAGGTGAAAATACTCTGTTGGGTGATGACTGGACCTCAGAATCTAGAAAAGAAAGCCAGACATGTTAAGGCCACTTGGGCCCAGCGTTGTAATATAATACTTTTTATGAGCTCTGAGGAAAATAAAGACTTTCCAACTGTGGGCCTAGAAACCAAAGAAGGCAGGGACCAACTCTACTGGAAGACTATTAAAGCTTTTCAATACGTTTATGACCATTATTTTGATGATGCTGACTGGTTTATGAAGGCAGATGATGATACGTATGTTATATTGGACAATTTGAGATGGCTCCTTTCCAAATACAATCCTGAACAACCAATATACTTTGGAAGGAGGTTTAAACCTTACGTGAAACAAGGATACATGAGTGGAGGAGCAGGATATGTTCTAAGCAAAGAAGCTCTGAAGAGATTTGTTACAGCATTTAAAACCAACAAGTGTTCTCACAGTTCTTCTATTGAAGACCTGGCACTAGGAAAATGCATGGAGATCATTAATGTGGAAGCAGGAGATTCTAGGGATACAAATGGCAGAGAAACTTTTCATCCTTTTGTCCCCGAGCATCTCTTAATCAGAGGATACCTACCAAAAACTTTCTGGTACTGGAATTATAATTATTATCCCGCTATAGAGGTAAGTCCTTAGAAGGCTGGTACCCACTATATGCAATACATCTTGTACTGCTATGATATGTTGTCAGAATAATGAGAGCTAAATGTATTTTACACCAAAAAGCTTTGTAGTGAGATCCTGAGATGCATTTGTTTGTAGAAATGCTCAGTGTGCTTGTCCTCAACTAAAATGTAGTCCAGAAGGAAGATGCAAACCAGGAGTTATGGCTGGAGACTTCTGAAACATCCCTACTGCCAGAACCTCTGATTATCCTTTGTGCTCCCCATCTGAATTCCACGATTTTTAAAAAGCTACTCAAGGTTAAAGGGATCTAAAGGTACTCAGTATTGCAGAGTTTGATTGGCCCACAGTCTGTGGCACATGGTGAAGCTGCTATTTTCATGATTAAACCTTCAAAAGTGAGATTACTATTTTTCAGGAAGATTTGAGATCTGTGTAGGTGGCCAATCTCAAGAAATGGATTTGGGATTCTTTTGATGTGATAAACCTGAAAAAAACGAGATGCCATTAATTATARAAGTCTATTTCTTTATACTTGTATTCAGTGGCTCGAGCATTTCATATGTAMAAAGTACCTAAGCTCTTGTATTTGCTTTGTATTGTGTCAGGATAAATCACRTTTATCAAAATTTTCTATCTGGCAAATAAGCTCACAAAACATAACTGAGGTTAAAGACAATCTCAGCTGTCTGTAGGTGCTCTCTATTTTGAGGGCTACAAAGAAGTTTTAAGAACACCTGAATCAAAGGCAGTGTCTCTTGGAGYTGACTCGGAGCTAATCAAAGCCAAGTTGTGACAAATGTATTAGCAATAATCCTTAAGCTCTTAAAATGCTTAGGAATGTCAACAGAAGTGGTAAACTTCTGTTTAAAGAAAAAAGACAAGAGTAAACACAGGAGGGTAAGTACTGAACAACATACTGCAGTGCGTCAAAACACACAGACACAGCTGCCTGTCTGCATGCTCTGGGTAATGCTGCCATGAATATGTATATGTTGCTTCATATATACCTGCAATGTATGGGCCTGAAGCTACCTGCTGCTCTGTAGTTTTGTTTAAACATTTTTGTCAAAACAGAAGCATGGAAAAGGAAACAAAACTTTGCCCTGTGTCCTTAATGAGGGCAGCTGCAGCTTCATCGTTGGCTTGATTACAGAAGCAGAAATCTGCCCAGCTTTTTTGGGGCAAGTGATTAAATAAATCTTTGATCCATTTTGCTTGGTTAATCAAGCTTTGAAGTGTATGGATGACTGATAATACTAAGTTTCTCACCATGAGGTCAGATGTGCATTTGAATTCTTCCTGGGACGTATCTAGAGCACACTGTGGAATTCTTGCCCATCATTTAAACTTTTTTTTTTTTCCCCCCTATTCCAGGGTCCTGGATGCTGCTCTGATCTCGCTGTTTCATTCCACTATGTTGATTCGATGACTATGTATCAGTTGGAGTATTTGATTTATCATCTCCGTCCATATGGGTATTTGTACCGGTACGATCCCGATTCTGCAAAGAATCCAGAAGAGCAGGATAAAAATGAAGCACTGGAGGATAACCCAAAGCTAAGGCAAAAAGTTTCTGAGAATTAATCAGGCTTTGAAGAGAACTGAGAGGCCAGTATGGTGAAGAATCTCCTGCATCAAGCTTGGACAGAAGGCCAGAATTCCTCATGGTGACTCTTACATCCCCAGTCATCGTTGGCAGTGTTTTCTGTCCATAGCTGTGTAAAACAGAGTCTCGTGCTGGCTCTGACTGGGGTAGTGTGACCTTGCAGCCCCGCTCATAAAGATTTGGGCCCTAAAGCTGTGAATGAAGTAGGAAGCTGTGCTGGTGCACTGGTACCCGGGAGAACTCTCACGAAAAATSTGGTGGGCAGGTTCAAAGATAATCATGCAGTATTTCTGCCCCTTTTCTGCTTTTTATTTCCTTCCATGTGTTCTGTTAGGTCGGCTCCAATAGGAGACACCTGATGCTGCACAGTGAAATACTTCATGATGATTTTCTGTAGCATTCTTGGTATCGCAAAGTTTTGTTAAATATCTTGCCCTATAGGGAAGGAATGGGGTGGAAACAGTCTCAAATTCATTTGCCTTAAAGACAGAYTGGTTAATGTGAGCAGACAGACATCAGCTCAAATGATTTAATCCAAATTGTTTTCCCAATGAAATTCATAGCTATGAATTCATTTCTTTTAAAACCCTGTTTACTAAAGCTACTGTACGAAAGAATATGAAGTTTAATCACTACAGTTCTGTGGAGAAATGTTTAAATTTGAGGTGATAGGAGGAGCTTACCTATTTGCCTGTGGCAGTGCTTTCTTTTTGTCTGCAATGTATCGATTTCTTGACCAAATAGTTATAAAAATCATCTCAGAACTTCTCAGCAAAAGATAAGGTGGATTTTTTTAATCTGTCTTATCACATCTTCTATGTAAACCAGGAAATTTACTATTTTAGCAGAGTTACACTGGCACATAATAACATGGGTTCACCCAGTATTGTAAGTAGTTTATTTTTATTTTTTCATCACTGTATTTTAAATTTCTGGAGCCACTGTGTTTATAAAAAAGGTACAAACAAGTCCTGTTTTAACACTGCAGCAAAGCTGATTTGGTTGTTTCTGTACACATTTAATTCATTTGCTTGAAGTACTTAATTCCACTTCTCTGAGGATTTTCTGCTCAATTTGAAACTTTGTTCTGTRTTTGTTTGTTCTCCGTTTCAGGACCAAGTGTTAAATGCTGCCTCAATAACTTAGTGTTCAGGTAAGCCCACCTGAATGCAGGGATGCTTCAGAGCGCATTAACCTTCTCCACCCTGTCACGGGTGTCTCTGCTTCTTATCTAAACACCCTTTCTTGGTCTTCTCTGTGGTGGCAAGGTTTGTATTTTCATTACTGGGGAGTTCTCAGAGGCCAAGCCTACATTTTATATGCACCACATAAAACCTTTTAGTTTTCTCTCTTTCAAATTCACTTGCTAGTGAGTTTTTTTGAGTGCRTTTTTTAAGCTTGATGCATAGAGTGTCTTTATTCCACATTTGGTCAGAAGTTTCTTTATCTTTTTATCAGTTTATCTTCATCATATTGATGAATTTGGATGGAACCTGATTACCTCCAGCCATAGTTTTGGAAAGGGCACATAGTGGGAGCAGACGGCCTTCCCAGGCCCTGCTGTCCTGTAGGATGTTTCTAGAAGAGGATGTTACCCCAAAGTACTGGATTTTTTTTTTCTCTCCCAAAGGTGGGATTGGGATCATGGGGATTGGGGTCCTGCAAGTCTGTCATGACTTTTATTCTGATTGTTACTCTGCAGCATGATGGCAGTCATGGAAACATCTCATGCTATTGAAATATATCCACCTTTGCTGCTTTGCCTGAATATAGGCTGGGTTTATGTATCAAGTATCAATTACATAGTTCCAATTAAATAGTATCAGGGTTAAATCTGTGGGTATTTAATAAACAAGATTTGCTTCTGAAGTACTGAAAAGGATAGGAGCTTTATTTTATGTTAATACAGTTATTTAGAAAATTTTAACTGCATTTAAGGAAGGAAASCCCTTCAGTCTGTGCTAAAATGGCCTCCTGTCCAAAGGGGGTGTCCAGCAGCTCTAGTCAGATGCTTCCYGTTGTGAGCTAAATGTTTATCCTGTGTGCGACCCAACCAATGGTGTTGTGAAATCCATATGTTATTGATAACTGCAGTGACTCTGTTCAGCCTCGCAATTAAAACATTCTGCAGTGTTTAAGGAAACTGTAAAATGAAATCAAGATCACAACTTCCAACTTAATCTCTTTGTAATTTCGGGCTTCATAGAAGGCCTGCTGTGCTGCTGTCTCGTTCCTTATTTCTGCTTTCTTCATGATTTCTTCCCTTGGGATTTAAAGATTTTGTTTCCCCCAGGTGCAGGGCTAGTCTTGCATGTTTTCTGCAGGTTTGTGCCTTATGTCTGCCGTGCTGTGCCCTGTGAATAATCATTTCCTCTTCATCTTCCCTACTATCCTTTCCTGAATTTGCAGTTTTCTCACCCATAAGTGCCCGGTGGATGGGGGGAGCAGATAGGGATGTCTGAGCTGCACAAGTCAGTGGGTGAGGAGGAAGGGAACCTGATGCTGGGGAGTTCCCAGAGGAGCCTTTTCCCTTGTGGGTTTTAAGAGCGTCTCCCTCCACAAAATGTGTAGGATCTAGGGGGGGATGAAGGGAAGGATGGAGCAAGCAGCTTGTCAACGGGCAGGTTTCATTTGATCAGGCAAGGAGGCTGAAATCAAGGTTTATGACAAATAGGTGGCCTGYCTGGAGAAATACATACAGAATAAGTAGAGCCTTCTCTTTAGGCATTTCCTTCAGCTGTGTTTCAAAGTGTCCTTCTTCCTAGGCCTCTGAAGCTATTGGGGTTTGGTTTTTTTTGCCATTCTAGCAGTATTGCAGAGAAACTTTTCTTGCCTTCCAGTATCCAGCCAAGCTTGAGAAGACTTCATTTTTCACACTGTGCCATCAAAGCAGCAGCCTCTTGCTCCCCATTGGGTTGTATTGTCCCAACYGCAAGCTGATACCTATGAAATAATTGCTTTCTATCTCTTCTCCCTTCCAAAGCTTGACAAGATTGGGATGTGAACATTTAGTGTACTTTTCCTGTACGATATGGTACAACTATTGGTAGGTTATTATTTCACTCTCCGCTTTTTGTGCTTTCAAATAATGTCTGTTGAATTTGAGTATTTCTGCAGCCCAGTGGGGCTGCTGTGTTTTGAGCTGATAAATCTTTCTGAAGCAGGAAGCATAGACTCTTTTAGGCCGCACACATCATTGCTCAGTTAAAAAATGTTTCTTAAACCTAAAAGCTGCCATCGCCAACCGAAGTGAACCAAATGATGCAAGTAAGGAATTCTGAGCTCGTTTGCTTGAGATTAGTAGACACCAGGCTTTCCTTAAACCATCACTTGTACCTGGATATGGGAAATTGCATGGGTGTCACCAGGTGAGAGAGTGTCACTTCAACCTAGTACACGTGTGTGTGAGCTCTGAAAGGATGAGACRACAACAACCCAGTTGTTGCCTTCTGATCAACGCTCTTAATCAGAGCAATAGGATTAGTCTTTATTTTCAGAAAAAGACGAGTTTTAAGCTTATTTCACTCCTAACCCATTTTTGACATCTTATTTTAGTCTTGTTAAAAGGGGTTAAACACCGCTGGTATCAGCAGCATCTTTCATTCTGTCATTCTGTGAAAGCTCCTTTCCTGATGTACTTTATCTTTGAGGACACTTTGGTTTGCTTTGAATATTAAAATAACCTTTCACATGTTGCCATTTGCTCTGTTATGCTTCCAAAAGTAAAAAATTCAATGAATAGCTGGTAGATCTGTTATAAACAATTTGCTGAGAAGTTTTTTTTTTCCTTTTAATCAATGTCTCGGAGAACTGTGTTATTTCCCCAGTGTACCTGCTACTGCTACTGATTGTGTGCACACAGATGAAAACAGATCCTCACTACAGGACTGCTTGGAGAGACTCGTTTTTTTCCTTTCCCTGACAACTTCTGTGGAAGGACTGTATTTTACCACATTGTATTTAAAATATTCCACAAATCTTCATAATACCCTAAGAGAATTTAACATTGCTGCTGGGCAGTATGTTTGTGTAGAACTCGTCAGTGTTTCCCTTTGCAGTTACAGACACTCACATCCCTGAGAAGGGTGCGAGGTGGTCACTGGTCCAGTGGGATCACCGTAAGGATTTGTTTCTTCTTTGAAGTGCCTTTGACAAATTTTTAGCATCAAAATTAAGTTGAAAATTGAACGAATAAAATAACTTATCTCATGTAACAGTGCATGTCTCTCTTCATTTATCCCTCCTAAATCCCGTTATAATTACAGCAGCACAATTCAATGTCCTAAAGTTGCACCTACTTTTTTTTTAAGCAGGTATAGAAAAACTGAGCAATTCTCACCCTTTATAACATTTTTGTGGTATGTGTAAGAGCTACCTAAGAAGAAAACCCAACCCTGATAAACCCGRCMCGGATATATTTTGGATGTGAAATTGGCCATAGGTGCTCGTGTGGGATTYGCATAAGACTGGGGGGCTGTTCCTGCATGACCCTGACTGGGTGTTTCAGGGCTGTTGCAGAGACCTGAGTGCACTGGTTAAGGCCAATACCACAATAGTAAAGCAAAGCTATGGAAAATTAACCTTTTTTTTATTTGATTTTTGTAGGAAAGACTACAAAGGCTTATTCCTTCAGTGAACTTGTTAAACCTCAACAACTTTTTTTGTGGGAGCAAGTGCCATGCTGCAAGTACCTAATCTTTGCTTTTTGAGAGCACGGTTAAGCACGGAATGCTGATGAAAAACCTACAGCATGCATTGGCAGCACTGGACTCAGTGCAATTGGTTCTTTGCATTTAGTGTTTGTGGCTCTATTGATCTTCCCAGCCTTGGTTAGGTGAAGAATATTTGACAGGGTACAGGATAATTTGGGCAGAGATAATAGTTTCACTGCACTTTTTTTTGTTGCTTTTAAATTTGCATAACATGATCAAATATTGCAGTTCTTTAGGCCTGTTTTCACACATCTGTTATTTTAAAATAAACTTACAGTATACAAAGGCAAAATCTCAATGTAATGATTTAGTTTTCAAAATCTGGCATGCCAGTGTGGCATTTAGATTTTCTCCTTTATTATTACAATTAAAGTCCACTACTTTTTTTTTTTAACTACTTTTCCAAATAGCCTGTTGAAAACGCCCAGTTTACTAAAGTGCTGTCTAGAGCTAGACGCATTTCSTGTGATTTTGTTCATGGAAAATAAGGTTCATCAGTAAAATATATTTTATTTATGCAGATAGGAAGCAGCTTTTCTCGGTGTATGAAACACTAGATGTTGCCCACGGTAGGTACAATCACGGTACAACTGTTAAGTATTTCCCTGCCTTAAGCACTCTAAGAGATACTATTGTCAGGCCTACCTTGGTTTAATCACCTGCTTCATTACTCTTGACTGGAATGTAAACGTCTATAAAATGCAGAAGTTGTGACCACAAGTTTAACTGTGCCCAGCAGCAAGAGTATTTTAGCTATGGAACAGCGACAGACTGAACAGAAGATAAGTCTTGTTCCTAAAGTTCCAGGTTCAGCTTATACATTTGTGACCTAAAGCTGCTTGGTCCTATTGCCAGGACCAAGCCCCAGGGTGAAACTATGGGAAAGAAAAACTGTTCCCCAAGCATGGGCTTCTCTTGCTTTTCTCTCCTGCTTTGTCTTTCATATGCAACAGTCTGCAGATTTGATTTGCAGAACCTGTAAAGATATAACCAAAACATGATAAAAYAATTATCAGTTATAAATATGTAACTGATTAATCAAGGTAAGTGCTCGTAGCCTGCTCRCTTGCAGAAAGCCTCATTGGCCCAAGGAAATTTCCTAGGGTTTGGTGTATTAATAGCAGTTGGAAAGAAATAGTATGTAAAACACCCTKTTACTATAAGTTCCTAACTTAAAAAGATTTTGGCATCAGTCTATCTAAATGAGTCTCTACCAAAGCAAGTGTTGGAGTCCTGTTTTATCAGTTGATGCTTGAAATCCTTCTCTGTTTAGTAGGAGATACTGCTAGACTGGCAGCTAGACAACCACCTGTGACGGGAGTTGGGCTGAAGACCTATGAAAAATGTTTCCATTTCTGTTTCATTTTCCTTACAGAAGAAGGAACGCTCTCTGCACCTTCTTTCAGAAGGACCATGAATTTTCTAGCTTTTCAGTAATTACTGCTAGAATCATTCTGTAATTTGGGGCTTTTACCCAAAGGGATGAACAGTTTCTTACCAAGCTGAGAGGCAATAGTGTTACAGACTAAAGGAATAGATGAGAGATGTGAGCCTGATGGGATTGTTAATAAAAAGATGATGTGAATAATTTGCCTGTTTGTTTTTTTTAAGCTCTAAAACTTGCCTTGTGCAGGTACAAGGCATGTACATCCTGCACATTGTGTTTGCAGGATACAGTTCAGTTTTACACTGCTCACCTGTGGCCCCTGTTAATCCACATCTCTGGTATCATGAATCAAAAGATCTCTTTTGTGTCCTTGAATTTCTAACCAGCTTTTCAAACACCCCTCTTTTGATTTCTTCTCCTCCTAGGATAAATCCTAATCCACTGAAAGGAAAGGAGCTTTGCCAGTAACTTCAATCATATGAAGAACCAGGTCAGGGCTGTGACCCTGCCCCACTCTGGATTTTCCATCTTCCCCCCAGCAGCTCTGGACCATGTGTGCTGGTCATCCAGGTCTCATCTCGCACCAATACCCTCCACCTTTTACACATTTGTACTGTGTTTTGGTGTCTAGGTGTGAATTATTAACTAGGAATCACCAGCTATCAAGCCGTTAAATCTCACCCTTCTGTTGCCTGCCACTGAAGACTGCAAGCGTAAGCACTTAAGCCAAATGTTAACTCAGGGCCAAATACTGAGTAATTGACAGAAATCAAAATAAACAGATGTAAATGTATAACCTGTTTTTGGAATGAACTGACTCCAAACTCCACCCCACACACAAGGATATTGCAGCATTTTCAGGTATCTGCTTCGTGACTATTTAACCTGGAGGGGGGGGTGGCAGTGAACTTGAGCCTTTATTGTTCTTAGATTTGTAGTCCAGATGGCTGGTCTATGGCAATTAAGTATACATCACAGGCAAATGATATCAGGCGGTTGACATTTAGCCAGACCAGAATAGTATCTTAACAGCACCAGTAGTTCAAGCATTTGCCGTAGAAAATAGCAGGTTTCATGTAGTCCACAGCAGATCCTGTTGAAATCATAACTGAAATGTGATAAGTGTTTCAAGGGCAGGTAGGGTAATCGTGTGTAAACCTCATTTTTAAGTGTAATTTAGAAAAATGAACCTCTCCTGTTCAGAAGCTGGCACAGCTTCAACGGGAACAGGGAACTCTTTGTTCCTACTTGTCAATGTTGCCTCAGTTTTTAGTGGAGAACAGGCACTGTCTATTTACCCACATTCAAACATCTGTTGTCAGGCTAATCAAGAGCATCCTGCCTTTGAAACAATCCCTGTGAGCTCACTTGGGGACAAAACTTCATTTCCTTCAGCCTCACTCAAAATGCACAGTCTGTGTTCTTGGTTTAAGTAAGTTCCATATCTCTAAATGCAGAAGTCTTACCAAAGTTAGATCTGAATATTAACAAATTCACACCAGTCCTCCGGTAGGTGACTCCAATGCATCAAGCTGTCTTCTTGCTTTAATACAATTAATATAATACAATATTTTTCAATGCAAAATAGTGTTAGGGTCTTATTAATGCATTATGCACCTGCCAGCATTTCCCTAGGAGAAGGAGCCAGAGCTCACAGGGGTCCCACTTACTGTATCCAGCAGCAGCAGAGATTCCTACCTGACTGAAGAGAGGATCTGGTTTTACAGTTGGGTGTTATGCTGGATCTCAGGGGCATCATCTGTATCACTTTGAGCACCTCATGCATCTTCTGCATATAAACTTTGGTACTTGGTATTTTCTGCTATCTGGCAGAAAATTCTGTGTTTAGTAACACTCCAAACCTTTCCATCTGAATGCAAAAATCATCTTAACTGTCCTGAAAAGCCTTGGCTTCTTGAAAGGGTGAGGTTTCAGGATGAGACTCACTTGCATAGGGATATTTGGCCGTTTGCAGGAATTTAAAGGCCTGAATAACCCAATCTGACCTCATAGCTGACTCTGTTTTGAGGGAGGATCCTGGACTAAGCAGTCCCTTTTTGCCCGAATTATCCTACAATTTCATATTCTTTCTCCCTTTCAGAGGGTAATGAGGTATAATTGAAGGGCTATATCATATCATTCCACATAATACTACACAAAATATGTTATTCCTTTTATGTCCTTTTGTTACAGATGGGTAGTTAGATACCTATATTGTTTTTTGGCAGTTAAATGCATACTACTACTGGCACTTCCTGCTTATAAAGCTATTTTCTTCCATGTATCAGTGCTTGCAAACAAGTGTTTCACATAGAGAAATGGTAGTTAACATTCTCAGTAATGGATACTACAACTTAGTAGAGGCTTAATCACTTCCCTCACTGTTGCTCTCTTCTGCAGATATAAAACCGGAAAGCATTTTTTTTCAAGTTTTATACTTAACCACAGGCAAAATGTGTTTCCACTGGGACAAATACACTAAGAAACCACATCTGATTAGAAGTTTTCCTCTGAAAACATTTGGCAGCTCTATGAGGAAGCTTTGCCATTTAAGGGCCRCATAAAGGAGCGATATCAAATATACAAGACATATTACACAACGAATTCTGGGACATTATGAGTACTCTTTTGTACGTCAGGTCMCTGGAGTGCAGTAACCTGGGCAGAGGCCTCTGATCGGAGCAGACAGGGAAGGGCAGGGAGCTGTTTCACTCTCGTCTAACCAACTTCAGGAGGAGTTGGCTCTCCCCCAACTTGTGCTGCATCTCTGATATTCCATAGTTGCCTTTCTGGATTCCGAGCCCCTCTTCCTCGGAGTTCCCCTGTGTTTTGTGTGGCTGCTGCTACCGTGTCTGAGGGCCCTTASCTGCATGGCGGGTATTTGCACAGGCCCTCGCTCGTCTAACGATGATTCCTAATCTCTAGTAAGCAGCAGACT